TGGGAAAATGTACTCTCTCATAGTGTGGTCAAATATAACATTTTGCTAAGAAGAGTATACTAAACATACCTCTGAATTTTAACCATGCAAGGGAGATGCATACGAGAACCAGAACACTAGAGCCTAAAATTGGCAGCACAATCCTCACTGCATTGCTCTTTGTTCTTTTACCTGTGCAACAAATACATATACAAGAAAATGTGATTTAACTATTTCTCTGTTGACTGAGAAATAACTAGTTCTAAGTCATCGCTAACAACCATTGAATTTTAACATCATATGAAGTACGAAAGGGACAAGAAGATTTTTATCAGAATGCTATTAGTATGGACCAAGAAATGACTATTTCTAGTGGAAAAGCAACGGTCACAATGAATGATACAGCTAGAAGCTTGTTATTGAAAACTAAACAAGTTATAGAAAGAGAGAAATGAAAGAAACCAATAGTAATAAGAGGGACAAATTGAGAACTGGTACCAGTTGTTGCATCCATGCTTGCACGCCTAAGATAGAGAGTCTCACCGCCGATCTCCCCCACCTTTCCTGTGTCAACTAACTCCTCGTCCCACACCAAGCATCTTGTCACATCTCCTCCAGACCTGCTGCTACTCAGGTTGGCAAACGCGTATGCCACACAGGAGCAATTGCGGCTGCACGCCTCCACGCACTCCTCGAACTTAATCCTGCCCCCACCTATAAACAGAAACTTGTCAGGCGACTTCATCCCCGGCAAGGCCATGAAACCATCACCACAACCTCGCAATGCCTCCTTCCGTCGGCACCCTGACGAGAATTTTCCGCTTGTCCACTCCTCTGTGCTAGTCGGCTCAAAGCCATCAAGGCATTTGCATGTTGGCACAATGGGTGCCGCGGCCGTCTCGTCACAGTAGCCATATGGGCCGCAGTAACTGTAGCGGTTGCACTCAGCAGACGGAAACTTATAAAGGATAGCCCATGTTGACGACCTGCTGCTCCAGCTTTGGAGCTCATACTGACCATAGTAGGTTAGCACAAACCTGGTGTGCGGGGCACCTTCCGAGAGACTATAAGTGACATATGTTTCATCGTCATTGTCGACGAAGGCAAGGTAGATGATAAGATCGCTGACGTTCGTGACACCCCCTAGCTGTAGTTGGTGTAGGCTCGTCACTAGGTATCCTGTCCAGGGGGCGCTGCGAGCCACTAAGTGCTGCCCATCCCATAGGAATACTTGGAGGGATCTGTTCGGGTCGCTGCCATAGGAGAAGCGCCCCTCCGAGGGTTCACTAGGCGAATATGGCGAATCCTAACCGACTGCGCGTGCAACGTGAATCGTCGTCGTCGCTGAATCATGTGGATCAGCGCACCCAGGCCCAGCGGGTCCCAATCCATTTCTCGTTTCTCACGTCTCTTTGCTAGATTCCCTAGGCCTACTGTTGAAATGATGGATCAAATGCATGCCTGACGCTAATACAGCTAGCAGAAGCTGCATGTGCCTATGTTATCTGCTCTTCAAAGCAAAATTGCACTACAAACAAATATATCACAATATCTTTTAATTGCTTTGGTGAAAAATTAAATTTCTTTATTTATTTGACTTTTCTATGGTGAGCTCTTCGAAACGAGCCCAATATCAACATATTTAACTTTGGGGATGGAAATTACTATATATCAAACACATGACAGAGACAAAAAGTTTATTGAAAAACCACAAAGTTCTTCAGAATTTTCATACAAAGTGCTAGCTAGGCAAATGTAATATTTCATAAAAAAAACTCAATTCGCAAAAATGTCCAACCATAAATTTTATTAAATTATACAACAACGTTCTTTAGAATTTTCATACAAAGTGTGAGCTAGGTAAATGCAAAGTTCATTGTTTTTCCCATAAAGTTCGCTGATTATAACATTAAAGTTCATTGGATTTTTTCCATAAAGCTCGCGGATTATAACCATAAAGTTCATTGGATTTTTCCCGTAAACTTCGGTAAATCCATATGTTTTCTTTGGAACTATGAAGTAGTTAATTAACAACAGTATATTTCACATTATTATTTAAGAAGAATTGACCACAGTTCAGCCCATTTAATTAAACACGTTTAAAATCATCTATTAACCCTTTTTTAATGATGCATGATCAAGTACTGGTGCCTAGGAGAGAGATTCCTGTCCTAGATGGTGGTGGCAGTCTACAATCAATTCGTGCATGGCAGCATGCAGTGGATGTGACATGCATGGAAGATGAGTGGGGGAGATATGGGTTGTGCGCACAACCAGTTAGGATAAATCCACGTCCGCCTTTCCAGGACACCAGACGGCCGGCGGTGCCTCGTGTGCTATTCTTTATTTGTTGCTTCATGCCAAGGAGGAATGTGTCTGTGCCGTGGTCGAAGCTCTGCCACAGCATAGTGCCATTTGACGACCGAATGACGAGATTGCCAGTATTCAGAAGCACTGCCATCGAGGTAGAAGATCCCAAGCCAGTGGCCACGTTGGTCTTCCAAAGGACACGATGGACACCATTACCATCAGAGAGAACCAGATTAGAGGTGTTGGTGAGGGAGACCGTTGGTGGAGAGGATGAGGTGTTGGTGGCCGGGGTTTCTCGGTTGGCGACCCACACGGCGGTAAGCTCAGGGATGCCGTTGTACCATATGCCTAAGTACAGACTGGAGAGAGTTGAATTTGAGGGATTGAAGAAGCCAAAGGCAAATCCACCATCATTGGAGACGATGGTGGCTTCCGGGGAGAGCGGCTTGCCCGGGACAAGCCGGTCCCTGGGAAGCACTCAACAGCAGGAAGAGAAGGATCATGACCACGGTGCAGCTGGTGAGAGCCGGCCAATCCATGATCGGTCAGGCTAAAATCTTAGTGCTAACTTGCTAGGCCATGTGGGAATAAGTACATAATTGTACTAGTCCTTGATCTACAAGCAAGCGATACTTAATTTGACTAAGCAACATCCACGAGTGTTCGACTGCTGAAGCAGATGATTGAATAATGCAAAGTTCTTGTAATTCTGGTAGCTGAGAGTTGACATGTCAGCTGTCCACGTCGGGAGTTGGATGCCACCGTCACTGCTGACTGGTCAGACTAGTGACTGAAACATTAAGGGGTTGTTTGGTTCCCAGCCACAGTTTGCCAAGCATGTGTTTGGTTTTTGCCACACTTTGACTTGCCACATTTTATTGCCTCTATGGCCCACTTCTCAAAGAGACAATTTTTTTACCAACTTTTGCCAAAGTTTGGCGTCCAATTTCTTAGCCACACTTGTGTGGCTAGCCACACTTTGGCTTGGCCACACTAGTCTCCAATCAAACAGACCCTAAACTACACGAATAGCTTGTGTGTATCAACACTTCAACTGTCACCATCATTCGGGACTGTTCTTATGCAAAGTGATCTTTACGATATTTTTAAATTTTTATACAGGCAACGTGTCAGCCTATACTATCTCATGCACCTAATTATTTAACAATCTATTTAAAAAAAATACTCGCTGATGTTATCATGGTGAGATCAGCCGTGAAACATTACAAAAACAAATAGGCAGCTAATCTTAATGCTCTTCAGGTAAATAAAAAACATGCATCTTCCCGCACGGGTGAAATCCCCAAATCCCAGAGAAATCCTTCTCACTCCACGTTCATTCCTCTTCCATCTATCGCGCCGCGGCTACCTGGCTGGGTGGCTTGTTCACTTCTGCATATTCGATCTGTCCCACTGCCAAATAGGCTAGAAATGTGGGCTCCTTTTTGCCTAACTCTTACTTCGTCAAATCAGCCCAGAAGGTGCAGATTCACATCAGTAAAATGCTTGGCATACACTAAATGTCACGCTCTAACATTGTACAACCCCATCGTTCTAGCATGGTTACGTTTTTTTTTAACACCCGGCACAATATAGAGGCACACACTGAACCCAACCCCCGCACACGCACAGCGCTTACGGAAGATTAGAGTCGTGAAAAGTGAATGTTAACAAAATCACCAAAGACGTATTAGAGTCGTGAAAAGTGAATGTTAACAAAATCACCAAAGACGTATTAGGGTCGATGGAATGCCACCTCCCGATGAAACAATAATCTACAGTAAGAACACACATGGACCATCGGACCGGAGGTTCAGGGGTGGAGCCAGGATTTACACATTGGAGGGTGGGGCGGGGAGGGGGAGGGGCGAAGAGACAAGGAGAAAAAACAGAAAGAACAAATATACTGTTGTCCTAAACTTCTTTTTGGTGAGGACTGCTCATTTGATGAATTAGGATTGGTCCTATTTCGTCCATAGTTGTTCGTTGATTTAGCTTAACCAACTCTGTCGTAGAAAGTACAAACTATATTTTGGTTCATCACTACACAGACAAAATTTATAATAAAATAAATCTGAATTCAAGCACCAGTGCATCATGCTACATACAAATTTGCGAGGATTAAATAAAATTGTCACTCGCATGGTAATTCCATCTAAATCAAGTATGTAATATGTATTGTAGAAAAGAAATTTAGTAGTATATAAATCGACCTAAAAAATGCAGATCAATATTGTACAATAAACATCAGTGAAGGGAACAACCGCACAACCCCTTGCGCTGAAGCGCGTCGTCGCGCGTTGCAGCCTGAAAATGCCGACATTAATCAGTTTCGATTGCAATCTTGCTCCTTCACAAACTGCCCTAGCGCAGCGATGGTGCCGTTGTGCGGAAAAGATGGATAGAAGATTAGAAACCACATCCAACTTCCAGGATTTGACGAGCAACTCCTAGTGGGCCGAGTGAAAGCAACTCCCTACCTAATTAATCCATTGAGTCCTTTTGCTGCTATGTTGTCAGTTTGAAAGTTCATGATACTATCTCAGCATTTTTTTTCTTTCCATATGAAAAGGGCACCAAAATGAAATACAGTAAAAAAATTTGGAAGATGATGACTTCCAAACAGCTGAAGCTTGACCATTAGGAAAACAGTTGGAAGATGTTTCACTAGGAAAGGCGCTGCGACATGTCTAAATAAAATAATAGTTATTTCATCTCCTCTCAATCTCAGTGAGAGTAAAACTAGTCCCAGAGTTCAGGATATCATCTCTAATTTGCTCCATTTCTGCGCTTCGTCGTGTAAAGTAGGCGCTTCTTCGTGTAAAGTAGGCAGGACAAGTAGGGGGTGGAAGTGTGCTGCTTCCGTTCTCTAGGACGAACACAACGGACGACATGAGTGGCCTGTCATCTGGATTGTCCTGGACACACAGGAGTGCTACATGGATGCAAATCAAAACTTCATCCAGTGAACAAGTATCCATGATATATGTGTCCACCAAATCCTCTGTCTTTCCTTCCCTCCACATATTCCATGACTGAAACAAGAAAAAGTGTCAAAAAGAATCTTCAGAAACTTGATCTATTTCTAAATTTTGGAACTTCATAGAACTCTCGTGGGCACTTACATACACAATGAGGCTCGGGAAGCCCATGATGTGACTATTGGAGCTTCTTTTTATACCAGTCACAACCTCAAGTACTAGCACACCAAAGCTGTAGACATCGGACTTGGTGGAGAAGACGCCTTCCATTGCATATTCTGGGGCCATGTATCCACTGTGTGACCATTGCATCCACATTATTAGAACTTGATTGCAAGTTTAAATGGTCTATATATAAGATGTAAAGGTTACTCACTATGTTCCCACAACACGTTGGGTGCTCGCATTTTGTTGGTTATCGCCAAAGATCCTCGCCATACCAAAGTCTGCTATCTTGGGTTTCATCTCCACATCCAGCAAAACATTTCCAGCTTTGAGATCCCTGTGAATTATAGTTAGCCTTGAATCCTGGTGAAGATACAAAAGTCCCCTTGCAACCCCTTTGATAATATTAAACCGTGTTGTCCAATCCAACATCAATCTTCTTGAATCATCTGTACGACAAAAAAAATGTAACTAACTTGTTTTTGGTTGTTTCAGGAAATTCTAGGTTATTACTGGAATATGTACCAAAAAGGGTAGCATCTAAGCTTTTGTTCGGAAGATACTCATAGATCAACAACTTTTCATCTCCCTCTCCACAACATCCAAGAAGCCGAACCAAGTTTCTGTGTTGCAATTTAGCAATCAGAATTACTTCGTTCCTGAACTCCTTTACTCCTTGCTGAGAGTCACTACTTAGTCTCTTGACAGCAACTTCTTGTCCACCTAATAATCCCTAAAGGGTTCAAGGGGAAACTTAGACTCCGTTTATATGAACAATTCAATTCTACTGATTTTAAAATGAATGGTGGCAATTTACCAAATGATCAGGTTACCTTGTAGACCTTGCCAAATCCTCCCTGTCCAATCATACATGTCTTGGAGAAATTGTTCGTTGCTAGAGAAATTTCGTCAAAACTTACAAATGGAAATTCATGGGCATGTGGTGGGTTTCCTTCCCCAAGTTCATAAGAGGTACTCATACTATCAAATGTTGCCTTCTTGTGTTTTCTCCATTTTTTCTTGCCTGCTTGAAAGTGTAATAATTATTTCTCGTATGATGAGTGTATGATTGACATAAAATGGAAATGTTATATTGCACTGCTGGACTATTCATGTATGTCTACTATTATCTTCTATACTAACAAACCAAAGCAAATAACCCAATAGGCGCTTATGAAACAGTGCTCAGTGAAGCATGAAAGTGTTCATGGATCATGATATGTAATTTGAGGGAATAGCAGGTCTGTCCGGTCTGTTTGATAAAGACTAAATTCTAGTATCCGACCTTTGGGAGAGCTGCCACTAATAAGGAAAGCAGTATTTCATATCTTCAATGGTAAAGAAGAAAGCATATCATACAATAGAATACTCCCTCTGTTCCAAAATAATTGAAGTTCTATCATTGTTCTAAGTCAAACTTGTTTAAGTTTGGCCAGCTTTATAAGCAAATGTGTTAAGATCTACAATACCAAATACACATAGTATGAAAATACATTCTACAAAGAATCTCATGAGACTAATTTGGTGTTCTAGATGTTAATATATTCTCCTACAGACTTGGTCAGATTTTGACAAACCTAGGACTTGAATTGTTTTCGAGTGAATAGATCAATTATGTTTATACCGTGGAAGATGGTAGACCTGACAAAATGGTGGCCCCTAAGGTTTAAAATGTACCTTTGAATTTTAGCCATGCCACGAAAATGCATAGGAATACCACAGCTCCAGTTCCTAAAATTGCCAGCATAATTATAGTTGCAGTACTCTTTCTCCTTTTACCTGTGAATTGCATAGATGCCATTAAATAGGCAAACGACTGATGTAATCATGAATGTGTGTTAGTAAAGACAAGATAACAAGAAAGAGGGGGGAAATTTGGTACCAGCTGCTACATCTAAGCCTGCAAGGCGGAGATATAGCGTGGCGCTGCCAAGCCCTTCGGCGAACCTCCCGGTGTCAATCAACTCCCCCGCCCATACTAAGCACCTTGTCACGTCTCCTCCAGACCTGCCGCTGCTCAGGTTGGAGTATGCGTACGCCACACAGGAGCAGTTGTTCCTGCACTCCGCCGCACACTCCTCCATTGTGCTCATGTTTCCTCCAGCAAACATGAACTTGTCTGGCGCCTTCATCTCCATCAAGGCCAAGAAGTTGTCACTGCATCCGTGCAATGCCTCCTTTCGTCGGCACCCTGCCGAGAACCTACCAGCTGCCCATTCATCCGTGCTTGCTGGCTCGAAGCCGTCAAGGCACTTGCACATCGGCATGGGCATCGCTGTCTGGTCACAATAGCCATACGGACCACAGAAGCCATATCGGTTGCATTCAGGGGATGGCCAATTGGCGAGGATAACCCATGACGAGGAGCTGGTGCTCCAGCTCTGGAGCTGGTAATCTCCAGTGTAAGTCACCACATACCTTGTGTGTGGGGCACCGGCAGAGACAGTGTAAGTGGTGTAGATCTCCTCGTCATTGTCGACGATGGCCATGTAGATGATCACCGCTGTGCTGCCGTTAACCTTCCGGTATTGGTGCTCGCCTTTTACCAAGTATCCGGTCCAAGGGCTGGTGCGGCCCACCGGGCGCGTCCCATCCCAGAGGAATAACTGAAGGAGCGTGTCCGGGTCACCTCCGTAGGAGAAGCGCCCGAGCGATGGGTCCTCGGGCCCCTTCCAGGACACCAGACGGATGCCGATGCCACGGGTGGCATATCTGATCCGTATCTTCATTTCAGGGAGGAACGTGTCAGTGACGTGGTCAAAGCTCTGCCACAACGTGGTGCCATTCGACGACCGAACGACGAGATTGCCGGTGTTCTCAAGCACCGCCGCTGCTGCAATGGAGCTTGAGGCAGCGGCCACATCAGTCGTCCAAATGACACGGCCGCTGCTAGCATCAGAGAGAACAAGGTTGGAGTTGTTGGTGAGGGAGAGTGTCGGCGCAGAGGAAGTGTCGTTGATGACCGACGTCTCCCTGTTGGCGACCCACACGACGGTGAGCTCCGGTATGCCGTTGTACCATATGCCCAAGTACAGGCTGGCCGGAGTGGAGTTGGAGGGGCTGAAGAAGCCCAAGGCGAAGGCACCGTCATCGGAAACGATGGTGGTGCCAGGGAAGAGCCGCTCGCCGGGGACAAGCCGGTCATCGGATGCCCGCAACGGCAGGAAGAGGATGATCAGGGCCGCAGTGTAGCAGGTGAGAGCTGGCCAATCCATGGATCAATCAGGCCCAAGTCTTCTGCAGTAGGTATGTGCACTGGCAAGGACAATGTACTAATCGTACCTTGTTCAGTACTTCTGGTGCTGACGCTGACATGCTGTTAGTTAAAGTGCAAAGTCTGGATCGATGCTTGGTCTTTACAAGCAACAAAGGTTTAGTGTTAATTTCTTGACAAACGGGTGACCGGATCCAGCACTCACGTCAAGGATGATAACGACAACGGATGATTGAAAAATGCAAAGCTTTTGAATTCTGGTTCGAGTTGAGAGTGTCTTGGAGTTGACATTTCAGCTGTCCACGTCAGAGGGACTTAGAACGCCAACGATCGCCGGTGTGAACTCAGCTGGTCAAACCACGGCACATGGTATGAATCCAAACGTCATTTTATGGAAGGGTTTTACTATTTCCAAGGCGACTGAGCACTCAAAATGTTCGGTCGAAAATACGATTTGTGCAATTGGAAAAATTAAAGGAAATTTTTTATCCAAGGGCTATCAACAGTTGACTGAGAATGTTTCCAAGTCGACTTGGACACGTATAAAGGAAATAAGTTTTACCGCCATGTGCTTCAAAAGACCATGGCGAAGGCACCAACTATCATCTGACAAAATCGTTGGTGGTTGGTCGTCGGGCACACACAATGACAACACGAGTAGGAGGATGAGGAACAAGATGATAGCGGCAAGGATGACATGACAACTTCATGGGGCCATTTTAGACATGGTCAGTGTTAACATTACACCTGAGGGTTTCCCGCATTATTTGTAGGATAATATTGTTATTGGTGATACACACATGAAATGTGGTTGATAAATTATTGTTAGAGACGGTAGAGTGGTGTTGAAGAGCATATAGATAGATTTAATGTTAGAAATGTATGACACAACTTGTGGAAGCACATGAATGTTTGAGAGTATGTAGAAAAAAATTGCATCCATCTACAGAATAATTCGTGCCAGTCATGTGTATTGCAATGTCTTGTTCTAGTCCATGTAATATTTATAAATATCTTAACTGAGTGTTCTAGCATGCACATTAACCAAATATCAGGACATCCTAGAAATTACTTCCCCTAAGAAGTCTACATAACCACTTTGTACCATCACGGTTGGGTACAAGCCCAATCATTATGCCAGTGCAGTCATTTGGCCTAAGAGCATCTGTTTGAAGGAGATCACCAATTAATCACGAGAACATGGCCTAAAACTGACCTTAAATGCGAGAACATGATCCACATGATGTGATGGTTCCAAAGTGCAAGTTTGTTCCATCCGAGACAACAGTTGCAAGGTTGGCACCCAAAGACAACCAACTGCCATGTCTTAGCGTAATATATAAACCTGGCCTGGACGTGGAGTAACTGAGCGCGAGCTCACATGAGCTCGTTATCTAGGTCGTTGGTTGGCGCTTCTCGATCTGTGCCATAGTTCTGTACGCGCGCATGCGGTCCGCCAGAAAATCGATCACTGTTGAGAAATACGTTCACGACAGCGTTGGGTGGTGGGCCTTCGCGCGGGGAAGAGTCGACGGATCTGACGATAGTTTGGACGGCCGTCGGTCTCCGGCGAGATTGGCCGTGGAACAGAATCGGTGTTCCCCGTCTGATCCGTGGACCAGGACAATCGCTGAGGACTATGGGTACGGTGTGAGCCGTTTGGAGGAAGCTGAGGACTGCGGCACAGAGGCGATGAGCGCCGGCGGCGAGACAACATGGAGTTCTGATGCAGCCTATCAGCAGGTAAGTCGATCTTTGCTTTTCCGGCGATGACGCCTCTTTTTTGAGCCCTCTGTTTTAGCTGATCCAGAGGATGGCTTTCTCCCAAGTTTCAGATCCAGTCTGCTGGAGGAGGTAGGGGAGAGCTTTGTGCCGGCTGCTGGTTGTCATTGTCTTTGGTGTGGGGGATTTGTAGGCGGTACCGCAGGCTGGGGGCGACGCGGCACACCAGCGGACAGCGGATAGCGGTGGTGAGCAAAAGGGAGAGCTCGCCGCCGACGTCGGAGCTGTCAATGGGGAAGATGAATCCCCGAGCACCGGGGTGGAACAAGAGGTCAGTGAATAACAACTTTGCCTTACAGCACGTATTGAGTGATTTAGGAATAAAACGAATGAGTGAGTAAATCATGCAGTTAGAGAGAGTGCTGATTGTTCTACTGCATTCAGGAAATTTATGTTGTGTGTCGCGTGTGTGAAGGCTGATTTGTTCTCCGCATTCACAAAATTCAGGCTATGTGCGCCTCTGTTTGCAGGCCGATTGCTGTCATCATTAAGAAAAAATATTGATTTATGTACTGGTGTTTGCAGTCTGTTTTGCTCCCTGCATTCAGAATATTCATCCTATATGCGCCTGTGTTTGTAGGCTGATTGCTCTCTGCAATTAGGAAGTTCATGCTATATGAGGTTGTGTTTGCAAGTTGTTTGCTATCCTATCTGCAATTAGAAAACTCATGTTGTATGTGCCTGTGTTTGCAAGCTAAGGATTGGCATTGCCTCCCCGAGCAAAACACCGCGCCTAAACCGAGTAAGTATGTTCGAAAAGGCAGTCAAGTGTTTTGCGGAGAACCCAACTGAAAATGTGATGACACTAGTTCTTGGCGCTACTTTCAACTCTGTGGCTGAGGCATACGATTTCTACAATTTGTATTCATGGGAAAAGGGGTTTGCCATTCGATACGGCAAGAGCCGGCTAAATGTTGAGAGGACGAAGTGCATGCAGGAGATAGTTTGTGGGTGCTTGGTTAGTGACTAATTTGCTTTTGCTGGTTTGTGATAGGTAAGTTGATTCGGTTTGTGGATTTTTTTTTGTAGGGTAAGGCTGGGAACGAGATCCTCTAACATCATGAAGAGATGTTAGAGAAGCTACAGTATCCTAACATCCCTTCTTCACATCCATATGATTAAGCCTAAAATGACTTAAATTAATTTACAAATTACAAATCTACTGTATACATTTACAAAAATTACATACAAACAAAATTATGGTGCAATAAAATTAATTTCGGATTTTATTTTCTATGAACAGTAATTATGCACAGTGTCCGTGACATCCCTTCTTTGTTTTGCACTGAGATTGCACTGTAGCTTCCTGACATCCCTTCACGATGTTAGAGGATCCGTTCCCGTAAGGCTGGGGTTGAGAACACAAGGTCTTGTCGTGGCCCATAACGTTACATTCTGTCTGGCTGCGGGGACAGGAACTTCACTTTTCCATTCGACAGAAGGTTGCAATTATCCAGTTCTTCCTAGACAGAAGAGAAGCTGGGGCGGCGGCGTGCTTGCGTAGGAGGGCGACGCCATTGAAGACATGGAATTCTTTCTACGACCGGTTAACAGGTGATGTATCCCTGGACTCGTTTAATTTTGTAAGGTGGTATAGCTGGAGCTGCAATTTCTTAGAGATTTCCCTCCCAACATGTCATGATTCCAATCCTTGAGGGGATGGATGGCACCGATCGACTGCTGGATATGGGGAAGTACACCTACAGGCCATTGGAGCTCCACTGCTGGCAGCCATGAGTCATAAGCAGTGGAAGTGATGAGTGGGGGGTGTAGCTCCTAGATTAGATGTCGGACCAGCTAAGGGGAAGCGCAGCTCTCTGACTATATCTCAGCAATCGATGGGGAAGGTCAATCCAGAGACTCCTGGATGGACAAAAAGGTTAGTCTGTAGTATCATTATCCTCATCAGATTACCAATTAAGGATTATAGCTACGTGTAATTAGTTAATTAAATGCTAGGAACATGCCGTTGACTTGTAGTTGACATTATAGCTTATTTCATAGTAATAAGTTTGTTGTAGGGGGTGCTTCACAGGATATGTTCTGTAGTTCTCCAACAATTTATGGAATATACCACACTCGTGATATAACTAATGTTGAGTAATCAATTTTAGGACACCAGAAATTTGCAAATGTGATCAACTAAGTCATGTAGGGTGCGGTTTTCCACAACTTGTATTTTTGTGCTAACAAGGTCAGTATTAAATGTCGAGAGGACGAAATGCATGTAGGAAATTATTTGAGGTTGCGTGCTAAGTCTTGATGATGCAAAAAACAGCTAAAAAGGTGAACTAGTTTGTGAAGGAAATGATTTTAAATTTCTATATTGTTGATATACAGGGGAAGCAGGGTTAGAGAATACACAGTCATGCCGTTGTGAATGCCCTGCACTGACCCAGTTGCTTAGGTCAGAGGACAATGATTTGTAAATATCTAAGCACAAGGAGAAACACAATCATTCACTCTCTCCAAATTGGCGTGTAACCGTTCACTGTCCGTCCCACAAACACATAGATGTTTACAACATAATTAGGAGATTTTTTGGTTAAATAGAAAAGTCCCCTTCACTAAGCGATCACTGAGAGCATTGTGCAGGAACTTGGGTTGTGAACAAGTGGATGATGATGTGAGGAAAACGATGGAATTATTTAAGGAGTTGGGTGCCAACAATCCGTGGTTCACATATCGAGTTCAAGCAGGTTTGGAGGGCCGAATAAAATGGCTGATGTGGACGAATGGTAGCAGCCATTTGCGACTACAGGCGTCTGAGTGGTTTACAGGCGAGATGAACCCTAGAGCTCTTGGCTGGACACAACAGTATGTGCATTCAGTGCTACAAATTCCGAAAAAAGTGGGTCAAGCCTGAAGTGATGGGTGTATATGCATATTTTTATTGCTGTGAGGGTGCTCAAATAAATTAATCATGACAGTGATGAAGAGCATTTTAACAAGCAATGTATCTCGATAATTAGCAGTTATTTTGGACAGTAATTTTTCATTGGCATATGTACACAGTGCTGGTACATTTTGAAAATTATTTGACATCTTTAAAAGTGGATGATTTCTGTAGAAGCCTGAAGATTGTTGTTCGTAGCAAAGTGGTACTGCAAAGTCAATGTGTACTTCTGATAACTGAAACAATATTTATCTAGGTGATGGCACAGCTAGGTGGCAGTCTGATTACTTATTGTGCCTTCACATTGAGCTGTGATATGCACA